TGATGCCTGCAGGCTGTGCCTGGGAATGCACAGCCCCCCACACCTGCACCACTGGGTTGTGCTGCTCCTTTGGGTCCCCAGGATCAGGGTCTGGTCCCAGTCACTTTAACAACCACTTTTTCTGCTTGACCTCATCCCTCCTCTTACCTCAATGAAAGTGACTTCACTTTACTCCTCTTACCTCTTTACTCTGTGCTGCCCTTCTCCTTCCAGTTGCTCTCCAGCTGAACCACTTAAGCCTGGCAGACACGGGGAACTCCCCAACAGCTTCAGCTGTGAAAGCAGCCACAAAGTTATCACTGACCTTCTCTGCTACATCATCATCCCCATCTGCTGCTTCTATACCCTTGTCATCAGCACTCCCACTGAATTCCTAGCTTCCTTTGTGGCTTTGGTATATTTAAAGAGCCTTTTATCAGCAGCTAGAGCATCCTTGGCAAGGCAATTTACAGATCTTATTTTTAGCCCTGTTTCTTTCCTGTTTAATTGTGACCTGACATGCTTTATGGGTTTCTTTGTTCTTAGACCACTTTGGGCTTTTAGTGTTGGGTTTGGGGATTTTTTTTGACAAGTTGCTATAAAAATCAGTGTTTTCAGCTCACACCCCAAAACCTGGAAGAGGTCAATTTAATGCTGCTGGGAACCCTTAGTAAGCAAAGCTGCTCCATCTTCCCCCATCAACACAAGACATATGGCATTGAAACAGAGAGCATTACTGGGCTAAAATTAAAAGGCTGAAGGATGGGAAATTTGGATAAAATAGCAATTGATGGCTTTGCAGTTGCCAGACTCGACAAATGACAGTTCTCCTCTCACAGGAGTGACAGAGGAGGCAGCACTAGTCTTGTGGGTTGTTGAACCACAAATTACCAGCAGGATCCTCTGTCTCTGGGTTGTACCAAGGTCCAGTTAGCTTCCTGAGCCTGGGATGAAGGTGGTGCCCCCTAAACCAGCTAGGAACAGTCACGTTCACCTGCCTGAATCCCTTCAACCCTCACCTGAGTCCCCCCACTCTCCACACCAGGAGTTTCTGTTGGGAAGCCATTCCTACCAAAGAGGTGAAAACCTCTTGCTGGAGGAGAGGCTCATTTTCCCTTACCTCTCCTGTTGGAAGAAGTTCTATCATTCACCTTGAAAACAGCCAGCCATCAAACTCAAGGTACACAAGAAGTGAAAAGTCAAGCCCCTTGGTCTGCAGTGGCACCTTACCTTCATTGTTCACTTTTACTTCTTTATGCCCCCAGCTTGGCACATTGCATGCAGGATCTGTAAAAACAATCTCCTAGAGGAAACAAGGAGTGGCTTCCTCCAACAGGCAACCAGGAAAAATTCAAAGTGCCTCCTGCTTCCAGGCCTGAAAGGTGTTGCTTTCACATGCAAGTGTGGATGTTGGGCTTTGCTGGGGAATGTGTGGATGCAGAGATTTAGCTCTCAGTTTTGAGGCTGGTTTCAGGTGTAAGCAGTGCTAACAGCAGCAGGCCTGATCACCCCACCCCACCAATCCTTATCCTGAGCTGCAGCTCCTCTAAGACAGCTGCCCAGACCCAGGCTCTTACCCCACTGCCATCCACAGCACCTACCATGCCTCTCCCCTCCCACCCAACATTGCTTGAATATGCTTGGGTATATCTAAATAAATGTACAATGGCATATGACTGAACCTATCCCAACATTCCCAAGCAAGTATGTGTTGGAACCAGGCAAACCTCTGTCCCAGCTCCTTTAGCACACCCTGTGCAGACATGCCAAGCAGTTACACTCTCCAGAGTGACTTTTGGTCTAGGATAAAAGTTGGTGGCAGACTTGAGTGGGAGCCTTTTCCCACCTCCTCTATGGGTCATGTGCCAGCAGGACACTCTGCTTCTCAAGGACACCCTGCACCTCAAGGGAGAAAATCAATTTGAAAATCCAAGATGCAAAATGAGTTCTGGCAGATTCCTGGAGCCTCTCAGCCTGCCTGCAGGCATGTCCACACTCACACTGACAATGAGGACCCAACTCAGCTCCTTTCCTATTCCTGCTTGGATTTTGAAGGATGTGCAGCTGAAGCAAAGCATGAATCAAGAGGCAGCAGTCATAAAACTCAACAAAGCTCTTTTCCATGATGACATTTCCCAGAATAGTCACACATTGCTAATAGAGTAACAGAAGTGAAATATCTGGGAGTTTGCCCTTTCGGTACAAAATTCCAGTCCAGATAAAAGAACTGTAACAGCCTTTGAAATGCTAAAAAGGAGCAGGCTCAGAGTGGTATCTGATTGCCCCACCCCAGCACGGGCTAAACTGGTGGCAGTTGCAGAAATTAGCTTTGAATTGGAGCAATGAAAATTCCTCTGCAGTTAAATGATGCAAACACCTGACTGTTTTTGCTGTTTTTATTACCAGTGATAGTACATGTCGGGATATCACACCCTCAATAAAGTTTTACTGCATTAAAGTTTCTCATTCAGCGTTCAGCGTTCAGCTGCATTTCCAACCTCTGTTGCTTTGCAAAAGAATAGCCGATAACACTTAAAAGCCTTTCCACATGCGTCTGTAGCAGATTACTGCTACATGTATTTTATGCATGGAGCCAGGCAATTTGCCTCTGTGAAAGACCACGATGACCATTCCAGTGGGCTGTTACTGTTGATATAGAAAAACCTTTTCATTCAGCTCCATGTAAGCCCAGGTTTCAGTCTGCCATACAAAGATTGGGAGGAGGAAGTATCCAAGCAAAAGTAGCCAGGTGAATGAAGCTGAGCTTCACGACTTTTGGCCAGTTTCTGCCTTTATCCCATCCATTTTCCAGCATCTCGCCACATACAAACTTCCCCAGCGTGGAGTCTGCATGGGGTTAACAGATTGCTGCAGACAGCAGAACCTTTTCCTGCTGCTGAAAAGTCAGAGAAAAGGGGGAAAGAAAAGGTCTGAGCAGAAGGATTAGAGTCTGGGAGCATCTCCTTCACCCAAGTTATTGAGGAGACACACACAGGGGTCAAAGAAAAAGAAGGGGGCAGCAGACATAGGGGGAGCACACATTAAATTGTTGGGGGAGGGAGCTGGTCCAGCTTGTAGGGCTTTTCTAGCTGGTGGAAAAATGGGTCTCTCTGTCTCTTGTGATAAGTGTAACCACTGTGCCTTGCTTTGCTCCTCATGGGACATTACTCTCAGAGGAAAAGTCTAGAAAATAAGACCAAATCCCTCCCCATCCTTTGAGCAAGATATCATGACTAGTTAAATCCAGCTAGCACTGGTCCCATGCAGGCATGCTGAGTGTGCAGAGATGCACACAGATGGTGGGGTTGGCTGAGGCCACCAGAACCTGGTTTCCTACAAACCCTGCCAATGGCAGACACTGTGCAGCCAGGTGACAGCAGCAAAGGGGACAGGAGTGAACTGGAAGAAACAATGAAACCTCAGGAAAACAACAGAGAGAAAATGGCACATTTTCTCACCAGGCTACTTCTGAGAAAGCAGGGTCTACCTCCTTTTGCTACAGAAGCCACATGAGAAAGATCAGGACTATTTAGGTCCCAGCTTTCAATCACTTAGCTGGCAACTAGGAGCTGGTGTTGATCATGGAGGGACTGGAAACAAGCATCTGCATGGACATCCTGGTAATCTCTGCAGCTTCATACAGTGCTCTCTACTGCTGACCCCCAGACTTGTCATTTAACCTGAAAGACACTTCTGTTCTCCTGGGCCATTTACAGCTGCCATCAGACAGAGCAGCTTGTCCAGCATTTTCAAAGGAGTTCCAGCTGCACTAACTACACAGTTCCCACCAAAAACAACCACTGAATATTGGTGCCAGTCTCACAATGATAAACATTTTAACTTAATTATTACTTAACATTTCTGAACTGAGTGAAACCTGGGTGCTGATATAGTTCGTCTGTGCACAGTTGTGTCTAAATTCTGCATAAATTTTAACATACAATAGTCCCTGGAATTTAAAATAAAATAAAAACCACTTAAATCACTGGGAGGAACATAAGAAAGCCTTGGTACTGAGAAAAAAATAACATTTAATAGGAAAAGTTAATTGGCATATATAAAACCAAAACACAAAATACAACAGAACTAAATGATTTTTTAAATGATTGTAATCTATAAATATATGTACACATGTGTGCATATGAGTATTTTATATAAATATAATGTTAATGCCAGTCAACATATAATGCACACTCAGTAAAATACAGTAAAATATAAAATCTTTTACAGACAGATTTATTGACTGTATGTAAGAAATTTTTTTAAACCCCAAACACCAAGCTTATTATCATTCAAGCATAAAGACTGCAGAAGAAAGAAAAATGCTAATACTTTCCACAGGAGCTAAAAATGTAAAATCAATGTGGTTTTGCAAGAGGAGGAAGAATAATCTTTGTTTGGAGATATTGTATTTTGCCACTGTATTGGTCAGGCAAGTGCCATTGTCTCACACAACCCATGTCAGCAGAGATCTGAACAGAATGCTTTCAGATGGAAAATAATGGGGGATTGAGAAGAGTGAAAAAACCTGTATCTAATATAGTAAAGTGAAACAGGTCAGATTCTTGTGAAAAACAGTTTTCATCTGCCCAAAGCTGTAGTTCAAATTAAGTGAGCACAAATCCAAGTGAAGCTCTGGGTACTGATGTTTTTCAGCATCGCACTTATTGCCTGGACCATCTTCCAGAAGAACTGAAAACCAGCAGGGTCAAAATCCCAGTATCTTGTGTACAATCACTCTCTTGCCAATGTAGTGGCCTCATTGAAGAAGTCTAATTTGAGCACATTAGTTCTTTTAAAAGAAGTCCTCTTCTTCTCCCTACTCTCTAACATTTCCTCTTATTTCAAAGTTGTTCATGATCTCTTTCAAGCAGAAATCTTCTAGAAAATCTTGAGAGAATCTGGGGTTAAGGACATTGTTGTCTCTTCTGCTGAAGTAACTGCATTGGTGAGAGGCTGTGAAACTCTTTGCTCTGACCCAGTTTTGTGGTGGTCGTCCATCCTTCTACTGCTCTGGTCACTCAATATCTGCTCTGCGTCCTAAAGCCCCTGGGCTCCCGTGATATTTCATACTACAGGGAATTTTTAGACAAGAAAAGAAATAAGGATTCACAAAGATCATCAAGTCTAACATTTGCATGAATAGCCCACACAGCTTTTGATCCCACAACCTTGGTGATATTAACCCAAACTGAGCTAATCTCAAGCCTCTACTTCCTCTGTGGCTCCCTTGCAGAATTCAAGGATGAAACAGGAGTTTTTTTGGAAGGTGCCTTCCACATAATGACACACTTCTTCTGACCAGGCTCCCCTGGGCCACAGCAGTACAAAAACTGTTCTATAATACTCATGGCACTTCACACCTTTTCCCTCTGCAATGCTGCAGCAGCTGCAGATGCTCTTGCTGTGAACAATGCAGCAGCAGCGAGGTGGGAGGACACAACCCCCTGGACATCAGTCCCAGCTTAAACTGACTGTGAATGTTGCATGAGGCTGCAGCTGGGAGGTGCCACTGCAGCACCTGTTGACTCTACAGCAGCCTAAAAGAAGCTCAGGTGTGTGATGCTTGCAGGCACACCTGTGCTGAGGGATAGGTTTGGATGGTGACACAGCAGACCACTGGGCAGCCAAGCTCTTGCTTTGACCCTTGCTTTTCACATATCCCCCCTGTGGCTCAAGGATGACTACTGGAGCTTTAGAAAGGTCTCATGAATGCTGATCTCTGCATTGAGGAAAATTTCTGTATTAAGAGAATTTTTTTCAGCTGCAGCTACAGTTGTTTGGGTGCCTTTACACCACTTTGGCCTTCTAGACCAAGGGAGGATGTACAGAGGGCAGCTTAGGTTCTAGTAATGTCTGTAGCCCACAGTGCTACTGTTCAGGAATTCCATTCCCACAGGACTATGTGAAACACTTACCAAATCATCATAATCCCTCTCTGCAAAGTGATCTCTATTTGTGGAACGCATCTCATAGGGGTTGTTTGGCTGATATCCTGGGTTTGCATGGCCAGAAGTGGTCTGGACCCTGGGGAACATGCTTGGTCTGTCATCAGAGGTATTCATGTCAGAATACCCTGACTTCATCAGGCTCCTCTTCTCTGGCTTTTGTTTGTGCTTTGCTCTTCAGAGGAGATGAAAGAACAAAGGAGATTTAAAAAAACTGTTTAGTGTGCCTTACTTAAGTCCAACTTAGTGATTTGTCCACTCCCACCTTGTTTTGAACACTCAGCCCCATTCTGAAGCATGCAACAGATTTTTATAGCATGGAGTTTTTTTATCTAGTGCAAAACCCTTATTTTGAACACACAGCAAAACAGTTTCTATTCAACTGTAAGAAATACTCTTACCTGACTGAAATAACAGAGATTGCTATCACTAAACTCAGGATAATGGCTCCAAACACTGTGCCCACTATTATAAGGATGAGTTCACTATCTGGGGGGAAAAACAGCAAAAAAGAAATGTGTGAATTAATAACTCACAGTGAATATTGAAAAAGAGGGAAGGGAAGAGAAGGGAAGGGAAGGGAAGGGAAGGGAAGGGGATTTATTTCCGGGCTCCTGGTGCTTACAACATTTTGTGGACACAGAAAGATGTAAATTAAGGATCTGCATTAAAGACCATCTCTGATGGATGGCTATTTTGACCTCAGCTCTAAGTCCTAATGCTGTGCACAGAATGGTTTTACACATAGTTATAGGTGAGGGACAGGAACAACTGGGAGAATATAGGTATTGTTTAAGCTAGTATTGATGCTAAATTATGTAGTTAGGTGTCAAATAGGCTCTTCCCATGCCCTAGGTACATAAGGCAACAGAGAAATTTCACTTTTCGCCCCCTAACATAGTCCTTCTATAAATGTAGAATGATGGCACCCCTAAAGGGTGTTTCCACTTTTTTGTTATCTCAGTCAGATTAGGCATTACTAGGTATTTTTCAAGACCATAATTAAAAATCAAAAATTCTTTTACTTACTATCAGTGCATTCCTCCCCAGAGAAGCCCACTGAACAACTACAGGAGAGAAAAAAAGGGAAAGAAAGTAAGAAAAGATGATCTTAAGGGTCCCTTTTAACCCAAACCATTCTATGTTCACAAAATAATAGTACATTTCCCCCTTTTGTAAGCAATTTCTCCACAAAGTGTGTTCATTACAGGTTTCCTTTTTAGCCCTATCTTACTGCTAAATTATTTTCTTTCATTAAAGTAAAACAATCTGAAATTTTTAGAGTGATTTGTGATCTCGGCACTTGAAGTTTCAGGTCCACAGTCTGAAAAATGTTAAAAGGACCTAATTTTCCTAAAGAACTAAACTCTGCACCTCTGAGCCACTTAGAATTTCCATGCAATGTCTTTAACAAAAGCCTCAGTATATAAGGCCTGTAAGGACTGGTAACTATCTTCCTCTCAAAGTAGTTTCTTATATTTAAAAGATATCGACTTTATGGTAAGAAATGTTCAATTTACAGCAGTAATAACTACAAAAAGAGCTTAATGAATTAATGAATATGGGGAGTGAGTCTGTCTGTTTATCCACCAGAGCAGAGCACAACCAGTCACTCACTTGGCCTCGCCAGCAAACACCCTTGCTCTGTTCTGATCCTGAACTGACAGAAATAATTTCAGAGAGAAAACCAAGCAGGAATAACATAGGTCTGCAAGTTATTGGGAAACAGTCCCCACTGATGCCAGTGCAAACATCCCAGGGAGTGGAGGCACGTCTTGCTCTAATGCCTGTTGCTTACTAAACACTTCAGCACAGCAGCTCCCATGGCCCAGCCAGGCTGTCAGAGCAGTTTGTGTTTATGTGGTGGAGTACTTTATCCTCTTCACCGACTCACAGGTGACCTTGGGTCTCCTTGCCTTTCCTCCAAGGTGTTATGAGTGCACACAAAAGACCAGTGCCAAGGAGTGAAAACACCACAACTTGTGACACCCCCTGCTATCCCCCTTGGGCACCTCTCTGCACCTCACGTAGCTGCAGGCTGTTCTGGTTGCAGCTGGCCCTGTGAGATGTTTTTCTCTCCTACCTTCACCTACAACACAGGAACACAATAAAATCTGAGTACTCACGCCACACATTTTTCAGCCTCTCTTTTAAAGTTAATCATACAACTGCACACTGGACCATCTTCTTCTTGTATGCAGTACTTGTGCTTCGCTCTAGAACAGCTTTTACTGCAAACTGTGTTTTCAGGGAGAAAAACATGAGTGACTTGCATATAGAAGATTATTTAATTGCTCTGGAAACACACACCCACCCTTCTCCTGTGCTTTAAAGCATCAGAATGGCTTTTTTAAGGATTGCATCTATGTAAAGCAAAAGCTGAAATATAAAATCACAAAATTAGAAGTAAACAGGCTGTGTTCAAAACCATCCAACTTTATCAAAAAGGAAATCTGGCTAGGCTGCATCTTCCATAGGCAAGCAATGGCCTGAAGTTTGATCTCACAGCAGATGATTTGTATGGCAAACTTTATCAGTTTTAGTCAGGCATGGGGCCACAAAGGCCTACACTGGATCACATCTCACTGGATTTATTGTAGCCAGCTTTCACAACTTTATCATGGATTTTTGAATCTTTTTTTTTCTTAAAATCTTAGACTTTTTTTTACTTCTGTAGTGTGAAAGTTTTAGTTTCCATAAGAAGAAAATAAGGTACTTCTAAGAAAATTAGGTATATCACATGGCTTTGGAGGGTAGTTAAAGTATAAACAGAGCACTCACTAAAATACTCAAAGCAAGAAAGTAAACAAAACCCTAACAACTAACAGTTCCCAAAAATGACAGAAATAATTCTTCTCATAAAAGCCTGTCTAAATCCAGGTAAAGCAAACCTAGAACAAAGGACAGAGCCTTAAGAGGCTATTGTAGTTCATCATGAGACTTTCAGTCCTGTCAGCTTCCTTCAAGCAACATGTAGAATTTTTTCCCAAAATATGTCCTAGTAGAGAAGGCTGTGTGTATAGGATTCAATTTGTTCCATCCCTTACCTTTCAGGTTTCTGTTTTGACCAGTACTCTAGAAATGCATTTAAGGACTTGCCTACTTACTGGTTTCAGTGATGATTTAATCAAGTTTTAATAATTTATTCTACTGGAATAAAAGTATAGATTTGTTCAAAGTGAAATGTGAGGATGTGTTTCTATGGCTTTCTTAACAGGATGCACATTCCCAGATTTTTAGAGGTCAGCAGATTGGCCCAGCACCTTTCTCAAAAAGGGACCGAGACAGGGAATAAGCAGATCAGTCTTTCAGGGATAGATAAAGCAGCAAGGTTCTTACCTGAACAAGAATATTTATCCCCTTCTTTCTTTTCTAAATCAGATTTGCATTTGCATTCTGGAAGTTGTTCCACTTCCACACACTCTGTGGTTTTAGGATCACATGGATAAATATCACAATGTTTTTCCACTTTAAAAGAGAAACATAGAGCAAACTTGAATGCCCTTTCATAGAAAGCAGTGCACTTGCCCAGCAAATCATAAAGCAATTATTTAGTAATTCTAAACAGAAAAAATTATAAGTCCTTTTCTTGGGACATCAATATTGCAGACTTTTAGACCAGCTCTTTTTTTCCTCCTTGCTCTTTAACAGTTGAGGTCCTGTTTCCATCACATCCTCTGACCTTCTGATTCTCAGCCTCCCACAACTATTTCCAAACCTTTCTGGCTCCAGTCTATGGAAAGGGACATTCTTCCCATAAGTTCATATTCTGAAAACTAACTTTTTGACTCACCTTAAAAAAAAAAAAAAAAAAATCCTACAGAGAAAAACCATAACTATTCTAGTTTTTTCCACAACTGAACTGTAAGACCCAGATCCCATACAGTTCTAGAGAGATAAATATTTATGGGCATGCAGCTCATTTCATGAGCAGCATTAGTACCCTGCTTGCCCAGTGTGCAGCTCTTTAGATCCATGTCCTTGTCATGGGAATGGTTTAAAGTCTTCAGTGCATGGCATGCTGTAGAGGGATGTGACTGCACTGGTGCCTTGGGAACTCTCAGTAGTTTTCTATTTCCTTCTCACAGCTGAGGATACCTTCAGACAACAAACTCAGGCTTTAAGCCATGAAATGCACTCTTCATTATTAGCTATGCCTTTTTAAAAAGCTGATTTCAAAATAGGAACTTATATTAAAACAAAAAAGTAAAAATATCCTTATTTTAATTAGGAACTCTTTCTCCCAGTATTACACATTTAATAATGCAAGACGTTACTGGTTTAAATCAACAAATCCCCTAGCTCAGTAGCTAATAAGTGAGGCCTCATTTCAATTACCATGGCTTATTATGTGAGAAGTCTAAAGAGGGTTTCATCCTATTTTTCCAGTAAAATACTGGCTTATTCTCAGAAGCAAAATATATATCTGTATATATTTTATCCTGATTTTCCCACTTCTTAACACTCAGCAGGTTAAAAACACCATGCCATTGCTTACCAGGAAAATATATTTTCCTTTTCTTCTTTACACAAGGAGTAGGAAGCCTTAATAAGACATAAGAACACCCCACTGAATTGTTGAGTCTTCAAAATTACCCAAGATTGAACATTCAGCTCCTCAAAGTCAACAAGGCTTATGATTTGATGGGCTCCTATGCCCACAGAAATCTTCCAACCAGGTTTTAAGAATCTCTGTTCCTGCTGATTAATTGCTTCTCTAGCAAGGAGTTACATACCTTCATAAGAAGAGACAAAGGGCTGGTCATTATTTTCGATTGCACGATTTACTGCAGACCTAACTGTAGTCTCATTTTCAGTTGAGTTCTCTGTGAACAGGTTTGTCACTGCTACCTTCAGTGAACCAGAACTTCTGCTTTTACTTGGAGGTCTGAAAAGGATAGATAGGACCATTTTAAAGTTTCACATAATCTGTATGGATAGCAAGCTAGATGCAAAGATGAAAGAAAATTTCTGCCAAATCTCCCTCTCTCCCCCAGCCTCTTTCTTCCCATAATGTAGGTAGTTGCCAAGAAACCTGAAAATGAGTGTAAATCTTGCTGAGGAATACATTAACAGCCATCTTTCCAGTAACTCCAAGTGTATATAGGTAGCTGCTGTATTTAATGGTAACAGCACTGCTCCTTTGTGTGCTGTTGATACACAACTGGCATTTTCTAGCTGGGTTAACCTCAAACCAGCTGCAGTGTGGAAAACCTCATGTCTTAGACCCTAATTTTTGCATGATTCCATCAGCCTGTGGTGTCATCCAGGTATGATGTGAAGAATCCACCCTGAAGGGCGGTGAGGATAATTCAGGGTGTGACCACCATGAATGCAGAAGAGTCTGTTTGCCATGTAGAGGAATCTGTGCAAGCTACACACTGTCTGGGTTGGGTTCAGCTCACAGCAACCTCCCTGGTGTGAGGTGGAGAACAGCAGTGACTTCCCTGTTCTTCAGCTAAACCTCATGCTGCCAGGATATGCACACAAATATCCTTAAGTGGCAGACTGCTGCAGTTCCTTGAGGTGTTACTGTGCCCCACGTCACAACTGCTCTGCTGGAAGTTACTGCACCACAACTCTTAGAACATTCTGCTTAGCTGCTTAATCCCTGGGGTGCACTGAAGGGGTTGACCCTGTGTGCTAGCATGCCAGGTTTTGCTGGATAGGGGTTGGGAAACACAGAGAAGTTGGCAGAGTTCTGGGGACAGTAACCTGTAACAGATGAGGATGCAAAAAAAAGAGACATTTCACAGGGTCCACCTAGACCAACAAGGGACCTATGCCCACAGCTACACCACAGCCCATTCAGTAGCACCTTTTCTCAACCTACCATCAGGAGACACCAAAAAATGCACAATAAAATACATTTGCTATGCCTTCTGTAATAAGGGTTTTTAAATTAAGCTGTGACTCCAAGCTGGGTAGCACTCCCAACAGTCATAGGAACTCAGAGTTAACTGTTAGAATTTCAGACATGTCAAATATCACAGGAACTGCTAGTCACAGCACAGTGCTGTATCCTCCATGGTGCTAGAAGCAGGACATACAGCGTGGAGCTGCCTCAGCCTGCCCATTTCACAGACATACTGGGGTAAAAATGGGGCCAGCATCCCTCCTTTATGGGGAAGCATCCTGAGCTGAACTCATCCCATACTTCTTATCCAAGTGAACTTCATGGGAAACAGATTAAAATTAGGTATGTGGAAGTATGTACTGTGCAAAAAATGAACCCGCAAACTTACTGAATTTTCACGATGACAGTTTCTTTATAGCCAGTTAGATTTTTAAAGGCCTTCTTAAACTATAAAAGAGAAAGAAATTGGAGTTCAAGGCAAGCAGGAGCATAGACCACAATCACATAAACCACTGAGGCTTCAGTGGTAAAGTTTTAATACAGAATATGCTACTATAGGCACAAATAAAGTAAGGTGATGTGTTAAATGCACCAGGCAAGGGGAGGGCAGTGGAGGGAGGGAGAATGAATGTCAGTCTGGGTTAACTGGCTGATAGTGACAGATATCCCTTTGCAAACTCATTGCTTAGGAGGTGTCTCTGCAGCACCAATCTGTGTATAAGTAGGGGGAAGAGGGAGAAGTTGACCTCCTCACAGATGGCATGTGTCCCTGAGAGGCAGTGAAGTAGGATCATCACGGGTCGATCTTGTGGGAAGAAGCACTGATGAAAGCATTTGGGAGCTCAACAGGATCAGAAGAAAAGTCACTGCTCTTCCTCATCCCATGTGGAGTAGGGAACAACCAGTGGAGGCACCTGCCTTTAATTGCCATAAAAGCAGGAGGTACCACGAGAAGAGGATAAGATGCATAATTCAACTGAAATGAAAGATGAACTCTCTCTCTTTCTTTGTAATAAAATGCAAATTATTTTCCATGTTATTTTCACTTTTTCATTCTATTATGTATCTATTTTAGTCCTACATATGATGTTCTTCTGCAGCCATATAATGAAAAAATGCTGAACAAAAAAATTAAGAAAATATTTTTTAACATTCTGGAGGAACAACTTTTGGCCACTTTCTGCGACAACATTCATAGTAAGCAATATAATAATAAGCAGAAAGTGATAACCATTTTTGATCATTCCTGATTAACATAATAAATATTGATATCTGGTAGAGTTGTCTATATATTCTTCCTTACTGCCAGAAAGAGAAATAAGCAAATCCACTTGTTTCAACATGGCAGTATAAATTAAACTGATCATCTTATTTCTCCAGGAAATCTATTACCAGATTTTTTTGTATAATCATAGAAATATAAAAAATGTGCAGTATCCATTTTACTAATAACATTAAAATACTAATACTGGCAGACTTATGGAAAAGGGTCATTATTGGTATTTAGACACAGCTGGACACTCATTCAGAAAAGTTTGTGCTGTGTGGAACCAATAATTTTCTTTTAAAAAGAAAATTAAAGTTGTTCCTTTTTACTCATACTATTGAGTATTATTGAGCCTTCAGCAAACAGCAGAGATCAGAATCTCAATAGGCTGGAAAACTTCACTCAGCCCCATTGTTTCTGGAGAGGGGATGGTGAAATATGCAGAGCAATTTATGTGAGAACTCCCCAGAATACTAAAAATACAAATATTACTTCAGGGATCCCCTTCACTTCAGCAAGAGCTATACATTTGCTCATCTGAGGGGAAAGTTCAAGTCTTTTATAATTAGGTCTAAGTTAATGTGAAGCATTCTTTGAAATAAATAGATCTCTTGTAGAGAGGAACTTTTCTAGGCCCCACATTAAAGAGAGTGTGTCCTCTCTGTCTGCATGACATCCAGTATAGCATTAAATATATGGGGGGAAAAAAACATTGTCACTCACAAATTCTGATACATTGTTGAGCAGGTATTGATACTCAGTGGAATTTACATTTTGAAGATTATCACTGTAAGAGGCTCTCACTAAAATGGTGGCTGGGTATACTTTCCCTGGAACGAGAACAGAGAGTATAAATTAGAAAGCATTCAAGAAAATCCAGCTTCACCTCAGAGTTCTACAGCCTTTAGGGATGGGGAAATACAATGCAGAAAATAAATCAGTGCTATTTTTCATATACAGGAGGGATCAGTAGAGGACAAATCAATTCAGTCACAATGGGGGATGTACTTTGGCTGCCAGGGAAGAAGGCAGGATCCTGGGCCCAACCAATCTTTCCTGATTATGAAACTGAGTAATATTAAACTGTCAGCATGGCCTGAAGCTACAAGACTCTTTGCAAGGTGTTACAGAATGTAGTGAGAAAAAATGTATATTAAGGACTCCAAATTTGCAGCTATTAAGCAGCTAATGTGGATCACAGAGAATGTTTCAGAATCAACCTGCTTCTTAAGCCTCACAAGTAAATTTGAGAATCCTACTTGCTGATCCTTAAATTAGAAACCCTATTTTCTCACATACTTGGCATTCAGAAGCATTTCAGAGCTGCATTTCCAGAGGACTCTGATGAGTGTTTAGCAATGGGGAAAATCAATCTGGTTGTTCATAAGTTTGGTCCTTTTTAAATCACTATCATTAATATCAATGTCAGGTTTACACTCGCATTTTTTCCCTGCTTTTCACTCATTTTCATCTCCTGCACCCCTGACAGAGAATTCCCCTTCTTTTCCTAGAACATTGACCTCTTTGGCTGTCACCCTTTTGCGAGATTGCAATCTAGGTCATTGTAGGAGTGGCTGCCTGCAAAGCAAGAAATCACTCAGCAGTCACTTTCCCAGACTGAATGTGTTTTCAATTATAACATGACAACAAGCTATATGGGAAGCAAAATTCACCTGAGCAGGTAACAAAAAGCATTAATGCCCTTCTGCAACTCACCTTTGTGACAATCCTTATTGCTGTAGTAGAGTCCATATTGGCACACACAGGTATAATTGCTGTATAGGGAAATACATGTAGCTGAACTGTTTCCACAAGGATCTCCATGGCAAAAGTCCACTAAAATGAAAGATATTGACATAAGGGTTTCTGCAAATTTTTGCAATTGCCAGTTCATATATAAAGTCATTTCTATATTGAATAGTTCATATATACTTTTAGTAAGGGAATCTACCAGTTATGTTTTAGAGAGTATAGATGCAATTGCAGAGCATACAGCTATATATCTTGTTTGTTTAATGTATACTAACTGTTTTCCCTAAAATCCAGCAGGATATCACAGTGAGGACGTGGAGTATGGCTGAAATTAATTATCTGTCATACTGAGCATTCACAATTCAACTCTACTTAATACAAGTACAAGCAAATCAAAGAAAGAAGGCATATCAGGGCTTGCCAAAACATGTGACTGTTAGAGAAAGACAGACTGCAATAGCCTGTGTGTCTTTAATACTGCACTGGTACATGCTTGCTTTATTATGACAGTGTCATAGCACAGTCCTTTACTGCAGACACATGAATAAAATGAGGGCTACAAAGTGAATTATAATAGTATATTTTCTCAGAGTAATTATATATATTCTGTAAGGTTTTAGAGTATGTATTTTATATCTATACATAATTTAGGTGGTTAATAAGTAATTAAAAGTTATATTTCTATGCATCTTATACATAGGATGGTAATTACAGTTCTCTTTCAAGATATCAAATTCTGGTTTTCATCCTGCCTGATTTTTCACACTTCACTCCATAAGTACAGTCTCATAGATGAGACATTTCTGTGAAATGGGGAAAAGAAATAGGATTTCTCATTCATAACCCGAAACATAAAAGTAAAACACTCAATGAATTTTCATTTCCTATAAGGTTAATCTCCAAATATTTTTCCAGAGAACCTAGTGAAGCCAATTCTTTTCCCGATGAAAAAGATCCCAAACAAAAAGCTACAACAATTGTGAACTCCAAACAGATTCCATTTGCAGCAAGGGCCCTCAGGGGGCATTAAATGGAAACACTTTGCCTACACTGGAAGGCTCCACTGAGATGGAAAACAGTGGGGTATGGAGAGCTCCAGGACAGACACATGCATGGTCCCCCATACATGGTTTCAGGTCCCAGCCCCACACCAGGGGTATGCCCCAGCTCTCTTCCTGCCTGTGCTCCAACACCCTTGGGAACAACTCCCTCCAGGCCAGGTCAGGGGCTGGCCCAGGCACCTCTTTGCAGGGATCCTCATGTATGCCTGCCTGCTGAAGGAGGCAAAGGCACATGGCAGAAAAAAAGCAGCCTCCTCCAATCTTCCCCAACACATTCTCCATGCAGCAAAGGCCAGCAGGAAAAGAGGGAAGAGTGGAGGATATTCATAGCCACCATCTGGTCAGCTTTGACTCTTCTGGAAGAGAAACTTGGGAAACCTTCCTGTCTGAGAGAGCTACAGATCTCCCTAGGATTTAGTTACTGCAAGCTGTCCCTAGAAAATACTGCCTGAGCATTTTTGCTTCTTACCTGGAGATACTGAGGGTGTCATCTCTGTTGGGCCAGGAGCTGTTCCATTCACAGTACTGATTTCTGAAGAAGGGAAGAGAAGAGTCATGGCAGCACTGCCTAGCACTGTCTGTTCAAAAACCATCAAGCTGGGTGTGAAGGACAACTAGCATGGTCTGCTCTGTGGCACCAGCCATGGGCCCTGGCCTCTCCCAGCTGGGGTGTGCCCCAGATCCCTCCCTGCCCATGCTCCAAAAGCCTCAGGAAGAACTCCCTGCAGGGCCTGGTCACAGGCTTGCCCTGGGCTTCTCTTTGTATGGATCACCTCATATCCA